TTCTTGTGTTGATTTCGAACTTAAGGAGCTTCTAAGGAGTAGATCACGAAAATTGTGTGAGTTAGGAAGAGGTTTTGATGAAATAAAGAGGCTAGGTTATGGATCTAAACAATAACTTACCAATGATGATGATTATTGTGGAATAACCTTCTTGAAAAGCTCTAAATCTCGAAAATTTGGAAGGAGAAATGAAGAAGTTGTTGTGAGTTCTTGAGTGAAGCTTAAGTGAAATAAGTGTGTGTGTGTGTGTGTCGATACTCTCGGCCGAGAGTAGTAGAAGGAGAAGAGAGAGAGATGAAAGGATGGTGCATGGAAACATGTGAGATTTGCATGGAGATCCTATAGGTATTAAGGAGGTGGCTAATCCTCCTTAATCCTCTAATTTCCCTTTTTTTTCTTCTACTTGGGCCGAGAGAGAGAGAGAGAGAGAGAAGAGAGAAAAGGATTTTGGCCTTTTGTACTTGAGTCTCCTAATGAGAAGCCCAAGCTAATGGTTTTCGGCCCAATGGGCCCTTAAGAGGTTTTACGGCCCAACTTGTATAAAGAATGAGTTTTATGGCCCTTTAGGGCGAATTAGATTTGTTATGGCCCAATAAGGGTATTTTATTTCATTCTAGGCCCATTATGGCCCAAAATGTTAAAATAAATGAAAGTGGGTCCAATTAGAGCCTATTTAAGAGTTCTAAGCCCAAAATAGTCAAAATTGGAAGCATATTGGTCCATTGGGTCCAATAAGAACATCCTAGTCCAAAATGGACTTAAACCGGGATTTTTAGGGTTTCCAAATTTTTTGTTGACTATTTGAATGTTTGTATGGGGTATTTGATGGAATTTTGTTGTCATTGAATAAACACCATACACGTTTTCAAGTTCTAGCTACAATGCCGTTCTTTGTTAAGTGTTTACAATGTATCAGAATTCCTAGTTGTGACAAGCTTTTTCTTCGTCAATCCACTCCATGCCAGCTCTTGATATTCATCAATGTACACATTGATTTTAAAATCATTGGCATACCCAGCATCAAGAAACCTTACATAGTCATTATCATCTCTTAGTTCTCCTAATCCATCTACCACAGATCGATTTTGAAGACAATAATATACATCAGTGCACCTTTCCTTGGTTAATTTTCGAAGCTGTAAGATGAACTCCTTAAACCCCATGTTTTTTAAATCAACTCCCGTAACAGATTTTTTCAAAGGATTGAAGTACACTAATGGCTTAGGGACAAAGTTCCCACCATGGTAAACATCAACAGTAAGCATACCTTGCGCCTTGAGTGAAAAATCGGCGTGAAAAGCGAACCCTAATTTCACAGTCTGTGAAAAAACCTCCAACGTTCTCTGTGATTTTGATTTTTGCGAAAGGGTTATTCCACGTAATACAGGGAGAAGCCACGTAATTGTTTATTTTTTTCTTCCTGGTAACATTTACCTCCTCACCGGCAGAACTGGTTACCACACTAGAATCAAACAACAAAATGTGAATTTAGATGGTATTTTTTGAACTAATTCTTTAGTTAGATGGTATTTTTTGAACATGGTATACTTAAATGGTGTTTTTTGTACAAAATTGAAACATAGTTACCTTTTTAAGTCATTTTCCCAATATATAAAGTCAAGAACACAAAGGTACAAACCAGTCATCTCCAAACAAACCATCGTTGTATCGGCCATTTGTTGTCATTATTAGCTCTGGTATATATATAAACCACTGTATCACCATCTCTCTTCCTCCTTCTCCGCCTCTAGAAACCACCGCACCGCAACCACTAAACCATCATCGTTGGCATCTCTCTCTCTAAAACCACACTCCACCGCTACAACCAGTCAATGCCGCCACAGCTTAATCCCAAATCCATTCTCATCAGACTTTCTCTCATCGTATTTGTAAGGTTTTGGAGAAATCCATCGCCACTAATAAACCTAAATCGATTTCATGATTGCTATGATTTGGTCGGTAACTCAAATGAACCTTAGTCAATTCCCAAATTTGCCTCCTCTAGATGCTCTCCAGTTCCATGGCCATCACGAATAACTATACTAGTTACCCGAATTCCATATTCCCACTAACCCACATCTGATACATATGTTCCTTTTAAATTATGAATACACACCCCATTCTCTGCCTCATCCTAACTCTAGACATAACGACGGAGACACCCACCTAACCATTCATGCCCGAGCTCATTGTGTAGGTTGGCACCGGTGGTTTCCTGTCCCGGAAGCACTTCAATCGGAGACAAAACCAGGTAACTCCTTTTGCATCTCGACATCTGTGATTTCTTTTGGTAACTGCCACCACCGACGACATACGAGGCTAGATATAAGACTCCGACGAGCGGTGATGCCAGATTCACGAGCACTGACGACCGGAGTGTCCAGATCTACTATCTCCGGTGAGTGGAAACGCCTGATTTACAAGCTCTGACGGCTATGATCCACCGTAATTGCCTCTTTCCAGATTTGCTTCATCTCCGACCACCACCCCAACGCTACTCTACCACCAATGTTATGTTGCATACAGTCGAAATCGAAGGGGGATTAACATCAGTTATGTTGAATACAATCATTAACCAGAGCTACAAAAATCCAAAACTGACCTTAGACCAGTCATCGCCCCTCGCCATTACTTCTCGTCGGAGAAGAAGCAAATTCAAAGCTTTTATGCTGGATGAGAGAGAGACAGTTCACGTTGGCTTATCAATGGTTTTATTTTTGAAGAAAACAAATGATCGAAAATTTGCATTACAGAGACATAAGAGGTAATCTTCCTTTTTTTTATTTATGTACTGTCACTATTCCCTAGCTCCTAGCTATTACTTAGCGTCATAAGTTCATACGTGCTTTTTGTTTTCTTTTGCCACAACCTAAGAGTCTAGTATCTATTAAATTATTATTACCTGTGATTTATTAATAGAATATCACATGCCATTGATCTTTGATCTACTACTTCGATGCTCTATGAAAGAACTCCTTTCTAAACTTTCGTATTTCTGAAAGACCCAAACTTTCATACTCGACAATTGTTACCCCAAAACATGCTACTTGCATATTCATAAAAACAATATTTTACATTGATAACTTGTTTACATAAGACTAGATACAAACCGACTATTACAAATTTTTATATGTTACATAACTTCCCAGGATACTATAAGTTATACATACATGA